ACACACAACAACACACACACACACACACACACATATATATATATATATATATATATATAATAATAGTATATATATATATATATATATTATTATATATATATATATATATATATATATATATATAAATATAAATGTCCATATCTATGTTTATCCATACGAATAATTTCAACTATTTTTGGTATTTGCTTGAACTCACTACAAACGACTCTAACGCACCTTTCATCTCACATGTAGTCTAAACACCTCCGTTTGCGTTACACGCGTTAGTATCACAGATAACTCCTTGCCTATCGCTAGCTGCAACGTTAACCCCTGCTTCCATACCTGTCCCGCTGTGTCTATAATATCTGTCTGGTACTCCCTGCCCTGATAGCTGATTGTCTTGTGAAACGTATTCTCTATAGTGGGGTGGTAGTTATCAACAAAACGGCCCTCTACCATCTGTATAATGAGTGTGGATTTACCAACACCTCTGAAACCGCACACGGCCACTCGTCTCTGTCGCGGATGTTGCTTAGTAGTTGACATTACGATTCTTTATAAATAATCCAAACAAAGCTGTTTATGTCAAGTTAGGCGATCAGGGTTATTGCAGTAGAGGCGGTGGTTGGAGACTAACTTTTGGGGAATGTGTATGTCACGTCTATTTGTTAACAAGCTCTCTGGACTGTGAGAGGATGTATTCGCAACACCAACAACTATATATTTGTATGTATGTAGATAATATATACAGCAATACATGCATAAACACGCAAACACGCAAAGTATGTACGCAAACACGAAATTTGTTTCCTACTACGCAATATTCAAAGGGGAAACACTGACTGACTTTCTAATTTCAGACAATGATAGACAGAAGTTAATCTGATTTTAAATACAACAAAACATGTTTACATCCGCAGCCAAAGTGCCAAACAGGCCGGCTGGTAACCATACACCGAGAGTACTATCATATATTTACTACTCTCTCTAAACTCCCTCTCATTGAGAGTCTACTGCTACTACATACGTCTTTAAAAATACAATGTATTTAGTGACGGCATGATTCTGATTCGTCAGTGACGACTTTTTGATGATTTTTTTTTGCTACTTTTTTTAGCACCGTATATATCAGCAGGTAGTTGAGGTCACAGTCTCTTGAATCTTGTGGCCAAAGCGGCAAAGCCCCTTTTTGACACTTTTAAATAGGCTAAATCAGTTATTTTAAAAAAAATGACTATTTTAACGGGTTTTAAAAAAGAGCTTTTAACCTCGGTAGTGACAGACTGACAGGTAGGGGGGTTTTTTTTGGGATTCATCGAAACCCAATACTGACATTTTGACGTTTGACATTTGTCACAACACAAATGTCAGCTAGTAACCGACTGACACTCTGACAACGTTATTGTAGATGTTGAAAACGTTACAACGTATCAGTGGAGCAGAAAGGCCGATGATTTTACACGTCCTCAAACCCTAAACCCTGTTTAAAATTTAGAAAGCTATGCTCAAACTTTTTGGTTGTGTTTGTTTAAAAAAAAAACAAAAAAACTCCCCCCCCCCCAAAAAAAGTAAATAAAAAGAAAAGTAGGAATTATAGCGGCGTACATAGCAGTGTAGGGCCGTAGGGAGTAGGGCGTAGTGCCGTAGCCTCTGTACTTTTTTTGAAAAGAAGTCTCAGCCATAATTGGTGTTCGGAAGTTCATGGTCGCAGTGTCGAATCAAAAGCTGCGTATGGAGTGGGTCATAATGTCATTTGCTTTTTCTGACCACACATATATCAATATATGGTATTGTAGTGATATTTGTTTCACATAGAAGGCTATGGATTTATATATATATATATCTCAATTCAATCGTGGCCATCTCGATGGAGATGTATATAAATATATAGTTCAATTCAATCATTACCATCTTGATGGCCGCATATCTGTACAAACAGCTCTAGTAGTAGTAGAGTACCAGAGGGTCATGATTCAATTCAACTTCACCAAGCAATATTGTTACAGCTTTCTTATATAGGGTGCGATAGATGTCTTCGTTGTCTCACTAACATAGTTGAACCTAGTTAAGTAAGCAGTAGTCGTGATACTATTATATAATGGCTATCGAATGGTATGCTGCTCTAGCAGCCGGCGTCCTAGTTGGATTGTCAATTGGTTCATACATCGGTACCAGCATGGGAAGTAGCGCACATCGCGTATCGTTTATACAGTGTTTGGATTGTAAGAGAAAAGTCAAGGTATGTTTATTGCCCTGCCCATGTATGGTGCTTAATGTAATGGTAGTACGATCTTGTCAAATAATAGAGTTCGAAGTAAACCTAACCGGAACGACTTTACGGCAGTCAAAAGGTAGTATTGAAAATACTTGTATATATCCAGATACGCAAATATCATCATGGGGACAGGCACATGTAGATAGTTAGAGGTACAAGTCTACACAAATGGGTCCGTTTTCATTGTATATCGATATAGGGATGAAGGGCAGTGCTTCTCGATGAATTTAGTAAATTGGGGGATAATGCTAATACTTAATGGATATAGTAACTTTACAATAAAATGAAGAATTAAGTGTTCCGTAATATATTTCTGATTTGTTGAAGTGTGGCGACAGGCATACAACTTACTTATGTTGCTTCTGGTAACTCAAGGGTATATATACACACACACACATACACATACGCATACACATACACTCATACACATACACACACACACACATAACACACACACGCACACACACACACACACACACACACACACTTACACACACACATATATA